ATAATTAAAAAATTTCAATTTTCATATTATTTTTTTGAATTTATTGCTATGAAAAATAAATGTCTTTAAGTAATAAATATTGAAATCTTTCAATTCGATTTCAGAAATATCTGAGATATTTAAATTAACTATCAAAATATATATATAGATTTTAAATTTCTGAAATCGAAATAATAAAAAGATTTTTAAAATATATATATATATTTTTTTTGAATTTTGTCATAATTATATTTATGAACTTTTTATGAGATATTTATATTAAATATATCATATATAATAAGGAGAATGAATATATATATTCAGAATCTTTCTAAAAAAGATTTTTCTTTTTTGATTTCAATTATGACACCATATTTCTTACAAATTCTCTTCTCTCTCTATATATATAAAGTATCAGATTTATTAAATTCTTTGTATCCGCTGTTCGATACGATCCCTAGATAATGATCTCGCCTCAGAAATAAGTATTCGAGTAAGCGATATTATGCGATTAAGGGAAAATTCCGCCTAATAATCTCTATTAAATCAAGCCGTAAAATTGAAGCAATTAAGAATTCCGAAGATCAACGACTTCGTAATCCGAATCATCTATCGCCATGCATCATTCCTAAGGCTTAGGATTCTACGATTTAGCTATCCCGACGACCTATATCGGGTTTGCCATAGGCTTCGGACTAAGAATTAAATCTTTACCAATAGCTACAAAATAATATTCAATAATTCTATATCTACAATATCTATTCTTTATTTTACGTTTGGAGATTATTAAACGACTCCAATAAACTATAGAAAATAAAGAATCTAGAAAGAAAATATAAAAATAGGCTCGTCCAGTTATCTAAACCAAATCTTTTATTATCACGATCCATTAATCCGGCCCAGAATTTAGAAAGAAATCATGAAGAGAGCCCGACAGGAGTCCAGCCCCTTAGCCCCAACCGACCCAAGAACCCAGATAAGAAATATATATTATTAATAAAAAGAACCCAATGCGAGCCCGCCTCGTTGCCACGATCCCGCCATCCGAGCCCAGAGCCCAGAAAAGCAAGCTCAAGAATATGAGAGTCCAACCTCATTATCGAGCCCAACCCCCCCGCCACGGGTCCATCCCAACCCCGCGCCACGGGTCCATATATCCGACCCAGCAGCCCAGAAGAGAAAATGAAGGGAGTCAAGTCCCTTCGCCGCGGTAAGCTATTTATATTCTAATCTAGAATCCGACGCCTCGAGAATTACGCCAATATCCCATTCCTACTGTATTAGTGGGAGGGGAACGCCAAACACCTGTTTATTTCTATATATTTTGTTTTTTCTTCTTTTTGTGTGTAAGTGTGCATCGTGGGTCCGGCAACCAAGCCCCTGTATTCTCAATATGTTCGGAATTCCATAGTGGTGCCATAACTTTTGGTAGGAAATGCGCTTTGCTGATTGGCTTCGGATGATTTTACCTTCTTGTTTGATTTGATCGTCGTGCAAATGAATTATGGTAGCCCGGCTTCCAGCTACCTCACTGATGTAAGTATGTGCAACAATCGCTTCGCTGTGAAGCATCAAATGACATTGAAGCATATTTCTAAGTCATACACCTGGGCACCTCAAGCACCTGGGACCCTCTAAGGTTACGCAAGAATGATTCGACCGTACCTGTCACATTCTCTCACTGATAATTTTGGGAGCAATCAGAGTGCCGAATCCAACGGTGCTCTGAGAAGCCCAGCCAAAGAGTGCGATGCATCCAGATCAAGAAATTTGGACAGAAACCGACTGGTATGGGGTTGAGGCAAAACAATGACGATGGGACTTAAGGCATAAGGGCCCACGCAGCCTGTGAAGCAGCCACACAGCAATTGCCAAAGTTTCCTCTCAGAACCACCGGAAGCCACGTGCAGCCCGTGACCTGCTCACAGTGGTACCAAACCGTCGTTGAGATATCGCTCTTGCAGATGCTAAGGCAACACCCTCGCCTGTCGGCAATGGCCTCGCGAGTTCGATACCCACACTCCTCCTCGCAAACACAAGTGGCATCCAAATCACGCCGCATGCAAGGATTGCACGTCCGTCGACAGTGGTGCAAACATACTATCCGAACTGAAAAGCTCAAAGAAACAAGCGTCTTGCTCCGGCCTGCATCATGGCCTCGATGGCCTGATTGGCCGACTCTTTGCGCAAACCTAAGTCATCTCTGCACACAACGCACCGACGCACCTTGCGTCTCGATCCAACCCACACACTGCTGTCGACTTTCAGCCACAGAGCACCGGATCAGCTACTCACACAATACACGAGCGACCTTTAAGCTCGTGCTTGAGCCAGCAAGCATCACACCCTGAATCACCTTCAACTCTCAAGATTCGCAACATAACTGAGAAAGGCTTAAAGGGCTTGAACCTCCTGGGGGCAAAGCCGAGTGCTCTCGGCGCCGTGGTGCCTTTTGCGCCGCCGGCAAGGAGAGTGGGGCCTGTCATGCGTCTGTCCGTGAGAACTCTTTGGGCGTCAGTCTGTGGCGACGCGAACGAGGCCAGTGGAATATTGCTAGTGAAGGCACATGATGTAGTCCTCCCAAACATTTGAACTAAGCTTGCCTGTACCGTCGCCAGCTTGCGTACATGCGCGAGGGCTCTTCAGCGAAGCTGAAGCAGCAGGGTCGTCCCGTGCAGAGAAGACGGAATAGTTGTTCTCCTGCCAGAGCGAGTTCTGTGACCAAGTTACACAATGAAGGGACTTAGAAGACAGCCACCAGTGTACCAAAGGCAAACACCCGCGGTAAGATCATTGAAAAGCACTGATTCGAGACCAGGCTGCAAAACGCAACCGCAGACAATCCAAAGCCTCACACTCACACATTAGCCCAACGTTGCCCTCCCTTCAAGTCTGGTTTTGCCAATCTCCTGGTTGCGAACCTGGAGCGGCGGAGCAGCATCCTGACGAGTAAGACGATTGGCTGCTAATGGCCTATGCTTGTTTGCCAGTTCCCAGCAGTTCGGTCAAGACAGTCCGTGTGAGCACAGCATGCACGATTCGGGCTGACACTTCTCAATCCTTTGAGTCGCTTTACGCGGGAAGTTGCTGATGAGCGAAACGTAACTGCGTGTTCCACACAACATCATTCGTCTGCGACCTTCTGCGCGTCGGATCCATGTTCGATCTCCCACTTCAGGAGGTTGGACTGGTTCCTGGCAATCCGACTCAGGTGTCGCCACTGCCGATCCAAGGTCAAGCACCCCTCGCTCGCTTTGTCTCAATGCTCTCATCGATGAACAATTTTCACAGCCAGCAGATGCCAGCAGCTACCTCTTGATATCGCCATGTATACTGTACCCCGGATCTGAAACGGGAGTCGCCAAATAAATCGACTTGCTCCATCCTGCCTCTCAACTTGCTTGGGATGCTTCATCAGAGTTGAAGAGTCGCCTGCCAACTCGGGTAGGGTAGTGTGTGAGTAGACATCCTGACACTGCCAGTTCCACTCGATTGAGCGACCGGGTACAATATGAGATTCTGGTGACATCCCTCTTATTCTCCAGGCTGGTTGCCGCGGCTGCCTACGAAATGAGAGCCCCACAGAAACTCTCGATCCTTGCCCAGTTCAGAACCAAGCAAACCGCAGTCGGCAGCCTTGCCTAAGAAGGAGGTTTCGCGAGCGTTGTTTTGGCTCGCTAGAATCTGCGACGAGTTCCTGCCAAGCCGCATCGCCGATGAATTTGTCTAGCCGATACTGTACTAGGTGCCATCTTCAACATCACCTTGTCGACGGCTTCAAAGTGAACATAAGTGAACGAAGCCATTGACCGTCCATGTCTTAACTGCCTTGAAGCCATGCGCTGCTGACGCAGATCTTTGGCCCACACGTCCACGTCGTCCATGCCTCGTAAAAAGTTGTATGTTCGAGCAGTTACACTCTTGCCTATACTTAAGTATGCAACAGTGCTGGAGCCCCCAAGCACCGAATGCTCAAACCCGTGAACGACAAGAGGCAGTCAAGCATGGAGCTAACCTGCTAATTAGATAATTGGCATGTACAGGCATGTCGAGCAGATTGGATCAGCTACTTGTGATCGTGATCTTTGCGACAATCTGCTACTGCAGCTGCCGATCTGGAAAATATCTGATGCGGGCATCTCTCAACTATGCGATCACGAAAGAAGCACATGTGCCTGCACCACGAAGGCCTGGGCGACAGGGACGTCTCCATCAACTGATGCACCACGACTGCAAGACTCAAACAGGACTCGTGTTTGCATGTCCTTCGAGCTTGACCATTAATCGAGTTGCCCAGAAGATTCTTGGCAGGCGTTGGTGCCGCTCGGGGAGGCGGCGCAAGTTCCTCACGAGCACACATGCCCCACTTGACACGGGAATTGAGCACAGTGTTCGTCATGGAACCATCAACACGAAGCCGGGGTTCGCAGCCAACAAGACAACGGCACGCAGGTTCTGGAAGTCGAGACGGACCAGCACGCAAACGAAGCCTGCTGTGCATGTCGGACGACGCAGCCGGCAGCCGCTTGAGCACGCGTCGTACTGCCAGCAGCACAATTTCAATTCACGCCTTCCAGAGCACGGTCGTGGTCCGGTCCTGCCATGGTCGAGCGCAACTGAGGAACCAGTGCTGGTGTTGCACGGCGACAAACTGGCCCAAAGCAGCACGGAGTACAAAAGCGACAAGAAACTCCTTTGATCACCACATGGGCGATCCAAATGGATCCGCGAACCGGGCAAGCACTGCGTGCTTGCACAGCAACTCCGAAGGTAAACAACATCCAAGAGCCAGTGCGAACCGCACCGTCACGGCAAAATCCTTTGCTCAACCCGGGTGCAACAGAATCTGGAGCTATCTGTGGCACAAAACTGGTGCGGGCGCAGTCCACTAAACATCTCTGAGCGCGTCACTACCCACTCCATAGTCACAGCGTGCATAGCCATCGCGTGCCACAAGAACAAACCCCAACCAGATAGCCAGGCACGATCAAGCTTCTTGCGAAAGCAGGCAGGCCTACCAGCCGCTGGCAAAGTTTTGCGCTACAAGCAGACGGCGTGCCGAGGAAGGAGGACTATGCCGCTGCTCTGTTCAGCAAAGCTCTTGTGCCAGCTGCTTGTCCGACACCTTTTGCTTCGTGTGTGGCGAACGAGTTCGGGAATTTGCTCGATCCGGGATCTATGGGGCGGCGGAGCATGGGCTGGATCCACAAGGGCCTGTCGTCCATGTAACTCTCGCAGCCTATGGAGAACCCTGACTGGGACCCGTCCGGTGCCTAGCTTGGCAGTTGGGCATGGCTCATGTGTCCTGGTGGGTAGTCTTTGTGAGAGCCGTGGTCGGGTTGCAGCGAGTGTTTCCCGAGTCCTGACGTGCCACAAGCACACGCTAATCAGCGCGAAACCAGGTTGCCGCCGCTGCTAGAAAGCTTTGCACTGAGCGAGCCGTCCTGCTGCAGTCGCATCTTTGTGCTGGGTGCAGCTCGGCCCTCGGTAGGGAGACGTGGGGTCGAACACGGCTAATTCCTACTCCCTAGTCCCGATAATCCGAACCCAGCATGGGTGCCTTGTTTACAGCTATCTCGACAGCTTTGGTCTGTGAAGAACACAGAGGAACATGCACCGAGGCTCCCGACCTCGCGGCGACGCGGCGAGGAGCGTGAGGTAGAACCACCATTCTGCAGGTGCTAAGCATGAGCTGTGTTTCAGAGACTAGTTCTGTCTTGCTGACATGTCTCACAGAAAAATTCCGAGCGTACCAGTTAACACAGTCATGTTGACAGGAGTCATTCTGCTGGGGCTCCTCGAGCTGAGATGGGAATAGAAGCGGAATAGGACGCCCATCTAGCACTCGCGATGCGAATGGGGAACCCAGTTGGAAGAAGCCCGTTCTGGTCTATGTGGGCGGGTGGATGAGCCGGGGCTCGGGAAGTCGACCGGCCCACCTCCCAAAAAGCACTCGGAGGCGACGCCGTGGACGCGGGTGCAGGGGAGGCCTTCGCTGGTCGCGTGGAGCATGAATTGGCTCTCCAACAGATCAGAGACGGCAACTTCGAATGCTCTCATGGCCAGCATGCCTGCGTCTCTGAGCCGAACAGGCGGCCGAAGGTAGTTGTGAAGTCCTCAGTGGGCCCACGAAACAGCTCTCTGTCCCCTGTCAAGAAACATCTACTGCCATCCATCTGGAATCTAGAGTCCACTGAAATCGAAACGGTGCAAACAACACCCAAGAGGAGACCGTGCATCATTTGCCTTCCCACCTAGCTTAGTATGTGCAGCATGATTCATGACAGCTTGTCCTGCATAGCCGTTCCCAGCAGTCTGCCGGAGCACAATATATCTGCCGCTACCACCAGCCGTGTGGATTTTGTATGGCTGCGTTCTTCTGCTACATTAATTGCTTTGCGGATTGCCGGGTGGAATGTCCTGCCGGTTATAGCGGCTAGCACAGGAACTGACCATAAGACCGAACGAATACATAAGTGGCTGCTTGAGCCAAGCGCAGAACCAGCACAGTGGCCACAAAGATTGTGAATGCGACCTCTGCACACATGCGCCCTTGAACTGCCTTTATAAAAATGCCTCAAGTGGCAGTCATTCTGGGCCGGCCTGGACAAATACTCGAAACAGTCACCATCGCAGCTTTCGACAGGCAGGTCCGATCATTTTGTTCACACAACCAAGCGCTTGGCCGTGGCACGGAGGCAGAAGACGCGTTTAGACCACACTTTCCTTGCTTACTCCTGTGTTGGGTGCACGGTGGCAGCTGCGGACTTCACCTCGGAGCCCCTTCAAATTTAATTGCCAGATGCGGCTTTCTGGTGCATTTCTGGCGTGTGATGGCATGAGGTTGAGATGTGTTGTCGAGTTGTCCCACTGTCGAGCCATGCAGCCCAAGTCAGCTCTGCTGTGTGCGGATCATCCGCTCATAGACCTTGCCACTTTCGAGGTTAGGAATAGTTCTTGCTAGGGCCTGGTTACCTGGTTCATGGCCGAATCTACTGTGGAAAAGGCTGATTGTTTCACTCCAAGTGTCAGGCTGCTCGGTTCTTCTCATCCGCTTCCTTCTGCCGAAGGCGCACCTGCACCGAGAGACGTGTAGCACGGCAGAGGATGTTTTCTGGTTCCAAGGGAATGCAGCGTCACGATCCAGTACCAGAAATCTCCGGAGCTTCTGGAAAATCATCGAATCATGGGACACAACCTGAAGCATTCCTCGAGTCTTCAGGACCCTCAACACCCCTGCTCACAATTCAACCTTGCACAATCCAGCTGCGGCAGGTGCTCGCAAACGTCTCTGATTCAACACGGCTGATTGCTGCCACGTCCTTGCGAGGCCTGCAATCCTCCAAATTCAAACTCTCAGGTTCCAGGTCCCGGCCTTGTCGAGTTCCCGCTTGATCTCTGCATTCTCTGGATCCACCTGTGCTGCCCGTCGCAGGTCCTCGCGGCGAAGGCTGTTGCAGGTGCAAGATGGTGCGAGGTTGCAACATCGAAGACCCCGACCTGCATCAGAGGTCATTTCGTGACACAGCATGTGGGACAGTGCTGCAGCTCAAGATCAAGAACTCAAGCCTCACACCGTAAGCGGGATGGCTTCGGGACTTGACGGACAATTCACTGTGCTTGAGGTGAAAGATTTATTATGTTTTGACCTGTACGAAGTGCATGTTATCCCAGCAGATGTGCTTCAAATGTGTCCGGCCTCAGCGCTTTCCGAAACTGGAAAGCACTGTGCATGAGGCTGAAGGCATGCACCGCACTTTTCTCGCCATTGTATATGTGTAGCATTCTGCGAATCGAGAGGGAAAATAATCCTCAGCTGGCATACATGACAGGATTTGATGAGAAGAATGCCATGGGCAATAGTATTTTGCACCATCTGGGGTCAATTCATGTCAGAGAATGGTGTATCTTGCACGACAGAAACATCTCACGTAATCTCTCCCAATCAACTACACAGATCAGGCAGGGGGTGTCCGCAACGACTCGGGATGCAGCCAAGCTTCCGGATGATCGGCGACTTCAGCGGTCTGGAACAAACCAGGAGCACTTAGGCGCTAACAGGCTTATAAACAGTTGGCGCGTACCCCTGAATTCAGATGCACGGAAGATGTTGATGTTGCTGCACTCTTTCAGGAAAGTTGCTTCCCCTGAAAACTAAATTCAAGCAAATGTGTGCACACAACATGCTTCCAGCCGAGCCCTTCTACTGTACCAAAGGCCGTTGCCAAAATCTCGGCGCTCCAACTGTCCCCTCTCAGTGATCTGACAAAGAACGGCACCATGCAGGGTAGCAACTGCGCATGAGCTTCCTCTGGCATCACTGTCAGAGCCTTGGGAGGAGACGTTCCGAAGCATTCCACGGGCTAACGGGCAGTCGTCTCCATCAGCGTCTCAATCACAGCACACGTGACAAATGGTCATTGTTTCAAGCTATAGAGGATAAGCAGAGCATGCAGGCGACTTGCCGCGGGCTTTCCCGAGGACAAATTGCATCCATTCTTGTGGACATGCGAGGGGCATTCTGGTCGCAGCACATCTTGTCTTCCGGCACTCTCAGCTTTTCATGCCATCCATACACACCTCTCCGAGACTTGTACACCCTTTTTCCGTTGTGCCTACTGAACCACATGCTGTTTGCGCAAGCAGATACTAGTACATCGGAAAACAGGAAACTCAGTGCTAGCGGCCCGAAACGCTCATGCCTCTGGACATGTCTCAGCACCTCCTTACCCCCGTAAGGCAAAGCTTACCCAGCAGTCGTAGATGCAGGTCTGCTTGATTTTCCGCCCTGGGTGCAAGCCCGGGGGGAGAAGAGGCGCATGCTAACCGTTTGTCTGCAAGCAGTCCAGAGCCGCCTTGAGTCGAACCCAACTCAAAAGATACTTCGTCGGCGTAGTCCTTCTTGGTAGTTTTGCTCTGCGAGTCACCCGTTGCCCAACTGTGACGTAACCAAGAAGATATCACGGCTAGTGGCCAAAAGCAGGCATCAGCCCATCAAAAGAAAGAGAAGCGGCTGTTCTGAAACAGCTTCATTGCTTTCAAGTCTTAGCTGACCCATCACATGCTGTGTGCATGGCGGCAATGTCGCTTCCTACTGAGCAATTCCATCACAGAAACACATAGTGGTCGGACTTAAGCCGGGACTTTCCTGGATGCAGAAGCGAATTAGCCGCGGAAGATGCAGCTTGCTTTGTGCAAGCGTGGCTCTGGTAGACTATGGACATGGCCACAAACAGCCCCCGCATCTCGCCCAGTTCATCACGGCATGGACTGAACAATCAAACAGTTCTGTCCAGCCCTGTCAGAACTTGAGCTCCTCAGTGGACGTGCCGATGTCCGTCAAGGCCATGAACGAAGTCGGTTTCTCTTGTCTCTGCCAACTTCTCGCACAGGCACGTCCAAACTCAGAATGTAGAAAAAGTCGTAGATCCAGTCACTGCTAGCGCCGTGACGATCTCTTCAGGACTGGCTTTCCCAGGTAGTGAGCATGGCCATGCTGCCACCGAGAGCCATGCAGACCCCAGCACCGTCCAAGGATGCTGGGCGAGTGCACCGACTCTGATCAGCAACGCTGTCTACGATTGCAAACTTTCAGGATCTGACACTTGACGGCGTCTGACGGCCTTACGGCCGAGGCCGTGACCGTCCCCCCTGAATGCCTCTTCACTTTGAACTCTGGAACCACCGCTATCGACCATTGTCACCTTTAAAGGTTTAGCAACCAGGAACTTTGTTTTTCGTTTGTGAATAAAGATGCAGCAGCTGGCAGCATAAGGCCGTCTTTACCCAAGCTCACTACGGCCACGACTCCTCTTCAGAGACGGAGCAGCTGTTAATTGTGCTGCAATGATCAGCGTTTCATCTGCGCATGTGAAGTCGAAGGACTCTTGAAAGGCAGTAAGCCAGCAATACTTAGCTGGACAGACGCAGATCATAGACTCTCACCACTGCAGACACCTGCAACCGAAGGCTTGCCATTACGACGGCATGGCTGCCTGGTTGCATGGAGGCACAGAGTCACAAGGGAGTGAACTTCCGCCCGCTCCGATCTTGATTACAGCTGTCTGTGGCCAGCAGGCAATGTACAGGTGTCAAAACGAGATGAGCAAACCCCCATGCGATCACACTGCAACAATGTATCCAATTGGCAGGATGGAGCCACTGATGTCAAATAACTCGTGTGGCCCTGTGCCTCCTTCCGTTACACTTGCCGACGGCACCTTATATGGATGTAAAACAGCTGATGGAAACGGCCCCGGCTTCGGTTGAAAGCAAACATCTGAGAGGCAAATGCAAAGCACAAGGTATTGGGCACTCTGGTATTTACGTTACAGAAACAGCCCGGCATGAGCCTTCAAACGAAGCCCATCAAAGATTTGCACATGCAAAGGGTGCTGAGGAGACCGAGGATCCCAAGGGGAAACCGGTCGCGAAGCGTTTCACTGCGCGACCTGGGCGTGGCAAAGACGTGGTAAGTCATCAAGCCCCTCTGCATTGGCCGGCTTGCACATCGTCGCCAACCCGCATCTTCAACAACCAAGCTACCAAGAGCGTGCAGCCAGGCGACCAACATCTCACGCTTCGGTGAGTTCTTTTTCCTCTTTCTTGACATTGGGCAAACGGTGGACCTGGGGCATTGAAGCCGCGAACCTTCGTCTGTGTAGAGAATGATATGATATGAGTATGAGCATCAACATCTGCGGAAATCAGCGAAATAAAATCCGCTCCAAAGCTACAAACTGCCCCGCCCTGAACTGCTCGAATCAAGTGGCGGCTGTGGCAACCTTCATTTATTCAAAGCCCTCTTACAAGAGCATTCGGCCTGCACGGAGCCGTCCTCCCTGAGGTCGACCTCGTTGCACTGTAGAGTGGAAACTTAAGTATCTAGACATGGGCCACTCAGTCCTGAATTCTGAACATGCTTTGCTCAACAACAACTACTCAACAAGACGCTGTGCAGGCAAGTCATCAAGACAGCACACATTGGAGTGATTATGATAAACTATGATTGATCACTGTGATACAGACCACTCTATACTCTGTACCACTCACACACTGTGGGAAGCTAGTCCAAGCTGACATGCTGCATCCCACAATCCCAGCTAGCCATGTTGGTGGGTGTTTGACTCTTCGCTTCGGTGGCTGTTGAACATCTAGAAAAATAAACAACTGAGGTGGCGGCCAAAGCTCGCTGCTCCAGGTCGTTCTCCTGCGGCCGAAACCGGCTTACACCCAGAAATCCTCATTTGAGGACTGCGACGGCGTTGCTGGTTTCAAAGCTGAACTCACTCCAACAGACTATCTCAATTAGGATTCAAGTAGCTGGCAGCCAAGGTTAAAGGAACATTGGAGGGAGGACCGGTACACGTGCACGGAGGTAATTTCCTTGTGTCGTGCAGATGAAAGGTTCGGGGTTCTGGTCACAACCTCATACACAGGGGCACCAAAAGGACGCTCCTATAGAGCGCAAGCTCTCGGTGCGAATTGTGCAGCACTACGTCACTGCATATTTTCGACGATTTGCTCCGTGTTCAGATCATGTTGCGCAGCTCTGCTTGCAAGCTCCATCGGTGAGCCTGCCTAGAAGCTCCTGAGGGAAAGCTCTGCTAAACATACAGCTCTATTCTGGTCCGTTTGCACGGCACGTTGGGCACTCCTCTGGATGGGCGGTGCTGTCCAGGAGGTGCTCCGCTAAAGAGTCCTGGCGCAGAGTTAGGTGCCGTCAGGGCTGGAGGCCACTGGGGCTTGGGGCTTCAGTTCAACTTCAGCCCGAGGAATCCCGTCTGGAGCACCCTGGCGTAGACAAGGGAAGCAAGTGCAATCCCACAGTGGGAAGCTACTGGACACATGGCTGTGCCTCCAACCAGCGCGTGATTGCCTTAAAGGGAGAATCTTCCGGAAACAGCACCCTACCAGTACTTGTCGGTGCCTGCCTGGCATCATTGGAAGGCTGCGAACTCCACGTGGGTTGTTGTCCGGTTACTGTATGTTAGGGTGCAGCAAACGACGAATTACCTACAGTCGGCTTGAACACGGGACGGTGTTGACCATGGCTCACCCCGCCCGCACGCACCCTCCGCAGCCCTGGCCCTAACCAATCTCGTCGAGCCTCATACGGTTCAAAATGCAAACTTCAACTTGAGAACTCCGCCTGATCTCAGTGGCTTCTCTGCCGACTCCCTCAAATCTGATCTTTATCAGCCGGTTGCGTCAGATGTCTTCACGAAGCCCACATGATGTGCACCAGATTCATTAACATAGTGTACATACTCTGAGCTCCGTGCGCGCCGCAGTGGCCTGGCTCCGTAAGCAGGGTCGAAACCCTCCTGGACCACCCGCTCCTTGGCAGCGTTCCACATCTGGTCTTACTGGTTCACACTGCATCGCTATTTTTTCTTGGCAGCTTCTTGTTGCTTAGCGGAGACACATGTATTTTCGACTGCCCTGACGCTTGCGAAAGTGACAAAAAGGCCTTCTACAGCTAGCAACAAAGTGCCTCCTATGTTTATAAAGGTCGAACTATTGGACTTCCAGCTGCAAAGACTATGCGGGACATACGCAGTCGCACCTTCAAGTGCTGAAGAGCACAAGGTTCGTACAGTAGATCTATGCAAGAGGAGCTATATGTGTTAGATTGTGTGAGGATGCTCGTGCTTCTGCGTGCGGATGGGAGCCGGAGGACAGCGGTGACATGCGGTGACAACGGAACTAGACTCCTCACTGCTCACACAGCATCTGCAATCCCACCCCCGCCTTGAAGCGCGCCGTCAACGAGACGTGCATGCCAGCCTGCCGCTCTGCTCGCAGAGACCCGTCACGGGATGGGTACGGTATTGCAGCAGCCAGCTTCGTAATGTCGACCGGGATGGCCGGCTGCGTGGGGGGGAACTTTCCTTGAGTTCAGCCTGTTTTGGCACCACGATCCCCGAGATCTTCGATACGTCAGCTAGTAGTAATACAACAACAGAATTACTTGCACCTCTTCCCACTCGTGAGCAGCTTCAAATGCCTGATCTTGGGAAAGCTATTCAAACCGGTGTTGGAGATCTTGGGCAACTTCACGACATCAACGGACATCCCCGAATCTTTCCAACTTGTTCCATGCAACCCTAGACCACGACGGGAACAGCTGTCCTCGAGGAGTCGTGCTGCCACCTTGTTGAACTCCACCTCTCACGCTCAAGCGCTCGATCTACAGTGTCATGCCGATTCTGAGGATCGTTGTCGCAGCATGCATCAGCATGCAGCTAGTCGCGATTGCTGCACCCCCTATCACACCGGCCTCAGCAATAGCGCGGATGTTCTCCTGTTGAGGCTTCTTGCTTCTTCTACAGTAACTGCACGGATGAAGAACGAAACACCGAAGACAAAACTTGGAAACACAAAGCAATACTAGAGTCCTTTGTCAGCGGTCGGAAGACACAAATCTCGTCTAAACCTTGGTGCAGGATACTATGAGGATTGGCGTCATCCTGCTTCAGCTTCAGTTTGTTCAGCCGGCACAGCTCCCGTTCGGATCTTTACAGCATCAATGCCTGATGCAAGCGCCGTCTGCACCACCAATGCTTCTGATCTGATGTAACCCAAGAACTTGGGTCCCGGCGATTGAGGAACTCCGGGCGGAAGAAGCTCTTCATTTCCTGGCCCGTCATCGTGTGTTGCCTGCCTCTGATACGACCATGCGGAAAGGTACGTGTTGGACCTAAAAGGCTCGATGATGTCTACTGCGTCTGGCGGTTCTAAATATCACAACTACTGCGTGCTCGACTGTTGCAGCCTCGTGAACAAGCTCCCGGATGACCTGCAAGGATGTTTGAAATTAACTTCTGCTTGCACACTCAAAATTCAAGCTGCCTAGACCGGAAACCCCATTGGATTGTGAAGGTGTGCTGTGGGTGTTGTTCAGATGCTTGGAGGTTCTGCTGAGAATCGGCTTGTAATGCACAAGGCCACCGGAAAGCAACCTTGCGACTATTGCACAGCGGAACGTGCGGCAATGTTACACTACTGCGCGAAACATCACTAGAAACAGAAAGCCTTTGTTCCGAACTTCTCCGAACTTCATGTCAGCGTGCCTTCCTCTATAGCAGGTGCTCCAGGCTTTGACGCGTTGGAAACAGCTGACATGCATACGCCTGCAAACGAATACCCGCATGAATGCATACATGCATGCATAAAGGCCTGCAGGGGCCTACATGCAAAGATGCATACACAGACGCATACATTACACGGCATTACCTTACATTGCAGTGCTACATTACAGTTTTGCAGTACATTACATTACTTGACATTGCACCAAATCACATTGCAGTAAAGTACGGTACCGTACCGTCAAGTACCTTAGGGGATTGTACGGTAAATACATATTATGCGTTTAAACAAGTTCGCTGCTTTAAGTCGTCGTCAATCAATACGAGTTAAGCGAAGCTTAATCGACACACTCAGCCCATGGGGCCGCTGGCACTCCCCAAAAGCCTGGTAGCTCTGCTCTGCCGAGTCCTTCGCGCAGACCGGTGCGGCCCAGCAGGAATACGAGTAACGGAGAGAAAATGATACTTGTAGCCTTGTAGCCATCACAACATGCTCGTGATCTGATATCATCTGGCGATGGTCACGATGGGAAAGATAACCATAATGCCAACAGTCATGCAGTTTAACACCGCGACCAATAATCACGGCCACAATCGAAACAACGGAACAAAACATGTAGGCGCTTACTTGCAGGACCTGGCCATGAGCAGCTTTAAACCCCTCAACTGCAAGGAGTTCAATCAAGGACCTCCATCGTGCCGAAGCCCAAGCCGACACCGCCACCTTTGGAAGACTTTCGTGACTCTCTCATGTCATCATCCTTCCATACCTTCCTCAGTGGCGCCTCGCCTTCAATGCGTCAAAACCCTTTCTGTCGAAATCTGTCGAAGGTCAAATCTCAACCATGGACCGGCCTGCGCCTTTCTGGACGCTGCGGCTCCTAGGTGTGCTCGTGGCCGCGGCAGGGGCCGGAAGGGTCCCTTCTTAAATCTGCTTTTCAACCCGGACTTCGACCAACTTGTATCTTACTGCAGAAGCTTTAAACAGTGTGCTGCCACACAATCTAGACACATGCTTCTGTATTCTGACCCTCCTGCACCTACAAGCTTTGCCGGCAGAGCAGGCATGACCTTGCACGAGAACCAACGCAAGACCAAGCACCAGCGACGCACATATTTCCACTTAGATCCACGCACACGTGCACCTCGCATTCGGGGCCCAGACCCGATGTTGGACGTCATGACAACCAGTGTGTTGCTGAAGGACCTGGCCAGCAGGAACGGCAAGAGCTTCCCTGGAAGCTTTCAAACTTCTAGCCGCTTCCCCTAACCCACCAATCCGCATTAAAAGCAACCAGAACCAGCATGGTATCCGCATCATTGCATGCACAACTCTTCCTCCGGTGTTGGCCACGCTTACACTCTGGTTGCAGAACCACCGCATTCCATCACAGAATTCCCCCAAACGTGCCAGGTTGGCACAACTCTGCCCTTGGAGTCCGTCAAGCGCCCATCGTCCAAGAGCTGCAGCAATGTGTTGAAGACGTCTGGATGAGCCTTGCATCTTGACCAAGACTGAACCCCCACTTAGACTGAGACTCTCTTCTGCCGTGCGAAGGAGCCTTCTCCACCTCGTCAAAGAGGACCAGAGAGTAGGGCCTCCGCCGAACTGACTCGGTGAGGGTCCCGCCCTCGCCATAGCCCACATACCTTTGTGCAAGATGCGACAAGAACGGGCAGGCACAGAGGGCACGATGAAAAACATATCGTCATTGCTCGCTGAGGAGCCCAGGGGGTGCGCCGATGAGCTTCGAGACCGTGTGCTTCTCCATAAACTCGCTCATGTCCAAGCGGATCATGGAATCTTCGGATCCGAAGAAGCAGGACGCCAAAGTCTTGCACAGAGCAGTCTTCCCCACCCCAGTCGGGCCACAAAACATTAAAGCGGCAATTGGCCGGGAAGGGTTCCGCAGGCCCGCCCGCGCACGGCGCAAGGCACGCGATGCGCTGCTGACAGCCTCTGACTGCCCCACGACACTCTTTGCGAGCTCTTGCTCGAGTTTCATGAGTCGCGCCGACTCTGTGGCCGAGACTTGTTCCACGGCGATGCCTGTCCAGCTGGCCACCACCTGCGCTACGTCAGTCTCGGTAACCCATGCCTCCTCCGTGCCCTTGGACCAACCCAGAACCTCGCGCTCCTTGGCTTTCAGCTCCGAGGCCTCGTCGAATCTCTCTGCAGCGACAGCTTCCTCCACTCGCGCGCGCAAAAGCCGGAGCTTCTCCTCGTCAGCGCCTTTCGTCGAGTCCGTCGCACAGCTCTGCACGGGTTTCTCCAGAGACCGCAGCCGGAGTTCGATTTCTTCCTGGCGGTTCTTGAGCCGCTGGGCCTCCTGAAACTCCTCCTTGGAGACAGCGATTCCCTTCTGCTCCTTGAGAGAATCCAGCTCCTCTTCGAGCTTCCGCCGCTCCGCCATCTCCTCCTCCCGCTCGGCCTCAGACAAAGCGCAAGAGAGCCGATGAGACTGCGTTGATACAGCGGCACGGCACACCTCATCCGGCCTCAAGGAAGAGCTGCTGCCGAACCTTTGCACCTGCCTCATCCATAACATCGATGGCCTTCCAAGGGGTTTTGTCGAACGAAACTCTACTTGGAACCTCCTTTGGTACCGAGGTTCTGTCACGGTATCTAACCTGACTAAAGTGTCGATCCTTTGATGTGTTGGTGAGGCCGGCGCCACTTTGCACTTGTGGCTAAAGACTCCAGGTCAGCTGCCTTGTCGGGTAGGAACCTGTCGTTGATGTACTGTGCGGCCAGGCGCACTGCGGCTCGGATGCTCTCCGGCTCGTATCCTTGAATCATGACATCTCCGGTTCCACAGAGCAAACAAGAGTGATTCTGCGATCGATCGACAGCTCTTGCCAAGACGACAGAGCATGCGAAAGGCGCCAGGTGGAGGCTTCAACCGCTCCCGTACATGTCATAAGCGCATGATGGCCGAATCTTTTAGCAGCCCAGTGGCTAAGCTGGTGGTGGCGCTCGTACCTCAGTAGAACACAAGCATGCGTCCACACAAGCCTCTCACCTTTGCCAAGGAGGGTCTGGAACGATGGGACATCCAAGCACCCAAGCCGTACCCCATGCACAGGAATGTCACAGTGCTATTCCGCAAAGACATGACCAGGGCGCTACGCACCGGCCGAGACCCAAGACACGAATGCAGGGAAGGTGGCCAACGCGCACACACGCGCACGTATGCGTACACATAATTGATTGAGCGATTTCTTCGTCTTTCTATTTAGTTACTCACATCTACCTATCTATCTACATGTATCTCTACCCATCGTTCTGTCCATCTAGCTAAGCTATCTTAACCCAATCAAAATAGTCCAACTAGTCCAACCAGTCCATCTGTCTATCTATCTGGCTATCTATCTACCTATCTAGCTATTTATCTATCCGTCGATTGTCGATCTGTCGGTCGATCTACCTATCGACCTATCTACCTATCTTGCTGGTTGCTGGCATATACATACATACATACATACACGCGCACAGACCGAGAGAGCGCAAGCGAGAGAGAGAGAGAGAGAGTGATACACCGTGCTCATCGAGTCAACTATCCAGCAACACCCGGGACCGATGCTTCGGCGCCAGGCCCAGCAAGATCTGCTCGGTTTCCTCCTGGCCGATTCTACTCTTGACGGAACCGTACAGAAACAGGAGATGATGCTGACTGAAGGTCTCAGGATCTTGCAAGACCCAGCACTGCATCCATTTCTGATTTAATGCTGCTAACAACTTCAAAACACAGCTGTGCTGGTCTGCCTCGGTTGGCTCGGGCACAAGGACCGGCTGGAAACGGCGCTCGAGGGCTGGATCCTGGTCCCGGTGATTGCACCGGCGGAGTTTCACTGGCAGCATTATGCTTGAAATATTTGAATCGCACTGCTCATTCTGAGCAGGGTCTCAATTGCACCCCGAAGCCTGCATGTTACTGACGTGTAACCGAGGCCATGCTGAAGCAGTCGCTCCATCCACAAGTCCCTGAAGAGGTGGAGCTGTGATTGAAATCGTGCTTGCTTTGGCAGTCTGCATTTGCACCTGAAACCTCGACTACAAAGACAGCCTGCGCAAGGCGAAGTAGTCTCTGGCATCGCTCTGCACTGTGTTCTGGTCTTCCAAAGATCCATTTGCTAAGGCAGCCTGTGCATCGCATCCCGTTCGGTGGACACCCGTACGAGCTTGGCTCAGGCATGTGCTACCTTTACCTGAAACGGATTCGGCCAGACACATCCCTGATTTGAGCGCGTGCCTTCTCAATGTATTGCCGGTACTCGTCCAGCGTGGTCGCCCCGATGCATTGCAGCTGCCCCCTGTGACTCAGTTGCTGCTGTTAACGTAACGTGCGGCAGGAAGCTCCCGAAGCAGTTGTTGCCAATCTAGCAACATGCACGGGATGCAAGCAATGAAACATCTTGGTACGACGGAACGCCTTCATAGTCATACTGAGTCATACTCATACTCTCGGCTCTCAACATCCTTTGCGCTGGTCAGGCAAGGTTTTCCACGATGTTGGTTCGGAAGCCCGGCTTTGCTCCCAGCGCTGTGCCTTGCTAGTGCCGGCTTGAGGAGGTTAGCTGCATCCATGCCGCCACCCTCACCTGCAACACTCGGGATTCCCGATGCTAGCATCCTCCAACCACAGCGGAAAGGCAAACTTTGGGCCTCCACTGCTGCCAGCACCAACAAGGGTGTGAACCTGCCCACAGTGAACATCTTCAGTGACTAGAACGATGCTGCACTCAGGTTCTTTCCTTCCTCTCCGGTCAGCCTGTCTCACCTGAAACGTGTTACATGACGCGATGGGCATGCAACCATTGGTCGCTTGGCGTTCTGGGGTGGGATGCCGTGCACAGTGAACAAAAGTCCAGGCGCCTCAAAGCCTGTTTCGCTAATTGACATACCCGATTCCAGCTTCGATGTGTCCTTGGCTGACTCGGAACCTGATGCCTCTATCAGAGGACGGCGGATTAGCATGGTCTGGTCACCAAGAGCATGCCTCATCGATCACCAGGATCACCCTCCGATTGCTCTCCGAAACTTCCTTCACCTGGGCGCCCACAACATTGCCGCAAGCCACGAGGAACTTGGCCTTCCCATTGTTCGTGGTCCTTCCTGGCCTTCATTTGCCATTGAAACTACACAAACCAGTAGTCAGCAGCTCCCGAACATCAGGCCAAGAATCGTAAACCCCAGAAACATTCTGATTCAATACACCGATGTCCCCATGTCCCTAGGCAGCTAGCTACCCACACCTCATGCCAGCACAACTTCTGCTCTTCCCTTCACCTGCTGGGTGCTCGAGCCACAGCACGTAGGCGCTCTTCAAAGTCCCCACGGTACCTGCCATGTTTCAGACCGCCTTCCTTTGAAGCATCACGAGAATCACCATCATGCAAAAGCAGCCTGGTGCCGGCAAGGAGGAGAGCAAGGTCGAGACTGAGGACCTGACAAGGTGGCAGGGATTGCAAGAAAATCTCGCATGACCACACATAGCACGACCATGCGCAAACCCGCATAACTCCCTGCCCCCACCATTCCCAAAACAATCACACAAACCGCCAATGCCTAACTCCGACAGGCTTTCATGTCAATCAACCCGACAAATCGCCGTAAACTTCGTCCTTAACCGTTTTCACAGGTCCCAATGCTGCCATGAGCACTGACAAAGAAAGACACCTGGTTCTCTTTTGTAAGGAACACTTGGCATGTCGAACCGACGGAGAATGCACCCGAGGCGAGCGCCCGCTTGTTCCGAAGCGTTGGGGGCACGCGGCCCTGCCATCAGCTCTGATCCGACAAGGACAGCTGGCGGGTCTACTGCACGCCCGCCTGCACGATTCGCTGGGCGAGGCCGCAAGCGATGGAGGTTTTACCTTTTGGATTCGGAATCAGGTCTCGGTCATGAGCATGTGCTCAGTTGATGCCGTTTGGATCATTGGCAGGTGTCTGTGAGCAGGTAACTACCCATGAAATGCTTCCGAAAAGCCCACCCCAGCTTCGCCCACGAAGACAGGATTGTTCTTGGACCTCAGATGCATAGACAACTCGTTTCTGTGACCAGTGACAGAAGATGCTGCAGTTGACAGACGTCTCTTAGCGGTTCACCTTCTGCCCAGGATTCGAATCGTCCGCTCCAGCTGGACTTCACGGCCTCGGGAACAGAACTCCTTCAGGAAATCACTTCGAAGTGAGGCTCGAGAGTTCAGAATGCTTTCTCGCACGGCCTCCTGGCTCGTGAGGGTTAAGGTATCTGTGATTGAATTTGCGCACTTTCGGGACTGCCGGCTGAATAGATCTGCTGTCGGCATCTCGGGGCGCGGACCCGCTTTCTGTTTAAGAATCTGAATGCAAATTCCCGGGCATTCGGCCGACCAGTGGATCCAGATTTCCCTCCTCTGCTGCCTTCGTGAGGTCCTGCGCAGCTGGGGACTTCCAGCAATCTTAGCACAAAGCCTTGTCGAGGGTTTCGACCGTCGGCTAGCTCGAAGTTGGGCCACCAGGGTAGCGCTGCAAACAAGCACTGAGCCACAAAGGATTATAAGGGCTCTGCACATTCAAGGAAAGCGGCTTGAGACAGTGCCCGCCTCGGCAAAGCGCAAGGTCTCTGTGAGGCGCAGCTCCGGCTCGTCCTCCTTGGGGGTTGCAGCCTCCAGGGAGAGCGCACTTCTTTCAGATGGGCCTACTCTGAAAGCTACAGCTAGACTCACAGCCATGAACTAGTCACGAACTGATCCAGTGGCTTCGCAGCTTCTCCAAGTCTTATGCAGCGACGACAGGCAAAGGCAAACTGTCGGATAAGCCCCAATGACGTGCCATGCCGGCAAGGCTCCACCTCGAGAGCAGCTGCCGTGACTGGAACAGATGGCGAGGCCTGTCACGATCCGACCATGCTTGAGGTCCTTGAGTTGACGGGCTCAAAAGCTGTGTCTTCGCGACTCTGGCACTTCGCTGCAGATGCCTGCGCATCAAGCTTCGCAAAGACCTGGCCAGCAGCCCTACCATCTCCAAAAAGCACTCATCAAAACACTGCACGCTCGTACCCTGCACTCCCATTTCGCGAAGGGTGCAGAAGAGACCTCGATCCCTTAAGTTGCAGGTGGCTCTGCCAAAAAAAACTCTGCATAAACGCAATACAATAACAGCACGAAGGGTAAGGTGGAAACTCGCCTGGGCCCGGCCTAGAGCTTCCCTCTTCCCCTCTCCCCCGCCCTACAAGTGGCGAGGCGGACGATGCGGCGCGTTTACACTAAACATTACAAGCCCACCGGTCCACACTCCAGACTCCTGCCTTCTTTCGGGTCTCCTCCGCGCTATCGCATCGAAGCATGTGCCTCGATAGCTGATCCCGGACAATCTCAAGACCCCCCAAATTCTACAATCTAGCCGAGTCCGATATGAACCGCAGGTAAGCAAGCACAACAACAGAACAAGTCTACTTCAGTGGCGCACTTGAGCTTCGGCACGACCTGATTTCCAGGGTTCAGACCCAATCAACTTCGTGCCCAGGCTTTCGTCCTGTCGTTTCATGCAGCGAGAATCAGCGAGATCTACAGGTCGATGGGCCGGCTCGCACAACTTGTCGGTTTCCACGACTTGCAGAGAAACAAAGGCTATCAACACCAGCAGCGTGGCAGCCCAAGTATCGGTGTCGCAATCTGCTGAGGTTTTCTACTGCAGCACCATTACAGATTGTAGGACTCTCAACTGCTCGAGACGACTGCGTGGGAGCGGGAGTACTCGTGGCTTTGAGGATGAAGGCTCCTGCGCCATCAAAGCCTTCAGGACATGCTCCGAGCTGACCTCGATGTGGTCAAGACATGAGAGCATGCGAACCTGGTGCAGAAGCGAGCTGTGTTGTAAGACACGAAAGCAGCTCGTGCGATACTGGCAAGAAACCGGCCAAAATACAGTCAACTCCAACCGTCATAACACTGCGGATGATGAAACAAAACTACACAGCCCTAGTAATACCAATTCGTTCTACAACCCTTACGTACGAATCACACATCCGTGTGACTCTTGATGTATGTGTGTGGAATTGCACACACATACAGATACACAAGTCCACAATGCCTGCCATCAATGCAATGTTCTGTATGAGCAAACTAAAGGCAAAAACATGCTGTCCAACAGGAGCCCAGTACCTTCCAAAATTAAACAAATTTCAATTTCCAGATTTCCATAATTCCACCGTTTCTACAACCTTTTCAACAAGTGTTAAATTCTTACCAGCGACGCTCAAAGTCTGGCACTGCAGGAAAGACCCTGATGCCTCATATCCATGTCAACAAACTCTGCCGCCGGCCATAGCACAGTCTTCCATTTTTGCCACTTGCAGAGCTTCCTCTAGCACCTGACAGTCGACAACGGAGCTCTGCGAGCGATTGGAATCTCCATCTCACGAAATCCATGTAAACACGCCGGGCAGCTCTTCCTGTATAAGTTAGTATGAGGCAGCATTCAAGGTGGTATGTTGACTCCGGCCTTCGTTGCGTCTTGCGTCAGCGGAATTTCCACATTCTGACAGGGATATACAGATCGCAGGTCTCAAACCCTTGCCGGTGCTACCTGAATCTCTTACTCTGCTCTCGCACTGGCCACGTGTCCCTGCATGCAGCCAACAATCCTTGCACCCTAACCTTGCCGCCGGTGCCGGTGCCGACCATGTCGTGGAGCTTTCCTCGGGCCTGGCGGCTAGCCAGCTGTGGTGACGACAGCGCTCCTCCTTGCTTCTGCATCCATACACAGCCTGTAACATGCTGTAAAGACAATGACAACCTGATGCCCAGTCGAGGCCTCTTGCAAGGAGATGCCGACGGCCTCCAAGGCCTCGCAGGAACCCACAAGGGCGGCTTTCGCCACAGGATGTGTGACTACCGCCTCGAACAAGACGGACCTGTGACCATCTCTGCCGACCTGCCCTGGGTCGCAGGCCCTGCATCCCTTCTCGTTGCCCTCGGCAAGGATTCCGACGACCAGCATTTCGGTGCCGACCTAAAGCATGTACCGAAATGCCCAAAACAGGACTAGTGTTGGACAATCCACAGTGAGATCTGTAGCGTGGTCCCTGGGCCTCCCATCGGCCTCCCATCTTCTCTTCTGCTTCATGCTACTTCATGCTCTATTTATTCTGAACGCTTTAAAGTCCCAACCAGAAGCATGATTGCTTGCTGAATTTCAGGTGGTCTCTTCTGGTGATGGCTGACTCTCCCCGACTGGGCGCGCAGACGTAGTCATGACCTCAGTGCGCACAGCTGCCAGGTTGGATTTGGAAGCATCCAAAGTTTGCTGGGCACTTTTTGCGCTGTGGTTTGCTTAGCAATTAGCAAAGCGAAGCCTTGGCCGAGGTGAATCCCACAGGCTGGAACTAGAAATGTCGAGCATACAAAATGCAGCTGGCAAATGCCCGACAGGTGGCCCACATGCTGAGAAGTTAGGAGGAGGCTTTGCTCTACCGTAATTCGACCAGGCAGATCATCCATCCTCTTCCGACAGATTGCGGAAGCTGAGAGAAGGTCCAAGCTTGCGTGATTCCGCCTGTGCCAGCATCACAGCCTGCAAGGCAAACCGCAAGACATGTAGCGGTAGTAGCAGCAGCCGCACAGCAGCGGTAGCAGCAGAAGTAGTAGCAGCATAAGAGAGGAGTAGTAGTAGTAGTAGTAGTAGTAGTAGTAGTAGTAGTAGTAGTAGTAGTAGCAGTCGTAGTAGTAGCAGTAGTAGTAGTAGTAGTAGTAGTAGTAGTAGCAGAAGTTAGTAGTGGTAGTAGCAGTAGGAGTAGTTGTTGTTGTAG